CCGGGGGCGGGGCCAGGGGCGTGCTCGGGGCGGGGTGGGGCGGGGCAGGGCGGGGCGACGCGCGCCTCCAAGCTCACCGCTGTGCTCCTTGTTCAGCAAACTCTCTGCCGGGTACCATGTCGACCGTGGTGGCTCAGTCGCTGCATGTTTTTGGTCTTCGATCCCACGTAGCCAACAATATCTTTTTCTTCGATGAACAAATCATTATATTTCCTTCAGGAAATCACTGTGTGAAGTACAATGTGGATCAGAAGTGGCAAAAATTCATTCCAGGTAAAAAACCTTTCCATCCCTACGCATGCGTTTCACCGTGCCAAATATAACCCCATAATCCCGACAAGACTATAGAAAGTTAAGTATTTTGGCCAACTTAAATATACGTATAGTTTTATAAAGGTAGAAGGAGTACACGTCCACCTGCATTAACAGAGTAACCACACATACATCGTTAAAATCACATGTAAAATGATGTTAATTTAAAAGTACTTTTTTTCCCCACTGATTTAATGGGAAAAAAAATTTATTTTAGAGTCTCTTTTCATGCCTCTGCAATATCATTGTCTTTGTCATCTCCAGGGCCACTTTTTGAGTTGTTTAGCACAGCTTTCCAGAGTTCGCTACCTTCATTACATCACGTTTTGGAACCGTGTATGATGAAGGCCCTGGAGGTTTAATCGCAAATCACAAATAACCGTTTGTATAATGTTACATTTGTGTTTGTTCACACTGGTCCTGTTAATGTTATACCTGATTTCCACAACTCAGTCACTCTTTTTCCAGTCTTTATTGCATTCAAAATGTTTGATCTTGACACATGCCTACAAAATAGTGTTCACTGCATATATCTAATATCTAAAGAACTATAATAAAGCGAAGGTCCATGAACGCACCACGCAGGGTAGGAAATAGAACATTGCCAGCTCCAGTGTTTCTCCCTGATTTCGTTCTCACCACGCATACCCACACCCCATCCTGGATATTGTAATTACTCCCTTATTTCTTTATATACTTTTACCATATATATGTGTGGCCTTATAGAAAATAGATCTTTGTTTTTGCTATTTACCAAGTTTTTTAAGTTTAATCATGGTTATACGTATGCCAAGACCTTTTGTTTGACATCATGCTTTTGAGACTCATATGTCTTAATATATATTAACTGAGTTGTTTTATTGCTATATGGTGTTCCATCATATGAATGGAATGCCCCAAATATATTTATCCATTCTAGTGTGGATGGACATTTGGGAAACAACAGTTTTTTGCTTTACAAAGCATCCTGCTGTAAAGTTTCTTGCATGTATGTACGCTCATCCACTTGTGTGGGTTCTCCAGGGCACATGGCCAGGACTAAAATTACCGGGTAATTTTCCTTATGGAAAGATTTTTGTTTTTTCCTTATGGAAAGAGAAGCCTCGGTGTCACGACTCTCTGTGCAAGAATCCTGCTACAGTATGGGGTGCCTGGGTGGCTCAGTTGGTTAATTGTCCGACTTCGGCTCAGGTCATGATCTCACGGTTCGTGAGTTCAAGTCCCGCGTCAGGCTCTGTGCTGACAGCTCAGAGCCTGGAGCCTGCTTCGGACTCTGTGTCTCCCTCTCTCTCTGCTCCTTCCCTGCTCACACTCTGTCTCTCTCTTTCAAAAATAAATAAAGATTTAAAAAAAATATAATAAAAAAAAAAAGAACCAAAAGATAGAAGGAGACTCATGCACGAGGTAAACTTGTTTCAAGGAGGTGGCCGTCATCAACTAGGTGTGCAAAGGCATTTTACAAACTCTGCAATCAGCCAACATATATTAAGCACCCATTTGGTGCCAGTCACTGGTGATTGAATGAGTGGATTGCATGAGTGAATGGATAAAGAAAACCACGGCCTGTGCTCTCTAGAAGCTCTCAGTATTGCCATGGAGACAGGTGTGTTTTCAAAGGAGCAGGACTTGGAAATGACCAGGATAGATGCTATGCCAGCTACAGCCCAGGCACGAAAGCACAAAAGGAAAGAGGGAGAAGTTTTCCTTTTCCTCCCCCAGGCAATCTCATCTATGCCCCCAGTTTCAACTTCCCACGGTGACTCTTACCTCACGTCTGCATTTTCAGTCCCATCCTCTCCTCCGAGCCTTAGAATCATATCCAGTTGTCCACTAAATCTCTCTACCTAAATGTCCCACAGTATGCACCTCACACACAATATATCCAGAACTGAATTTGTCATTTCCTTTTCTTCCCTCTCTTCCTTAAGACCCTACCTCGCCAGATTGTCAAATGCATGATAAAGCTACAATTACAAAAATAATGTAGTGCTGGTATAAATATCCCCAAAACCCAGTTATATATATGTAGATATGTAAATGAATTGAATATATCATAAAGGTAGCATTAGGAGGAATCTGTGCTGGGACAACTAGTTAGGTATTTGGGAAACAGGAATCAATCTAAGTCCTTACTTCATGCCCCGAGATGAAGTAAAGACTTTAGTGTAAAAAAAAAAAAAATGAAATCAGAAAAAACTAGAACCAAATAAACATGAGTAAAAATAAAACCTTTGGATGGGCTGTTTTCCATAAAAAACAATGGACATACTCTTCGCCATGACCCCTAACTCCCTCGGCCTATGTTCCTTCCCAGCTGTCACCCCTACTCCCAGTCACCAGACGTCAATCATTGCTTGTTTCTGTCCTTCCCCTGCCTCACCCAGGCAGCCACTGGGTCCTACTTGGCATCTCTCTCATCTCCCTATTCCAGCCTTCATACCACCTGTCACTGCCATCCTGCTTTTGAAATTATCTGCCCACTGGTTTCCTTCCCTCAAGGTCTGTCTTCCACACAGTTGCCAGAGGGATTTTTCTACAACATGCGTCTGACCCTTCCAAAAATTCCTCTGTGGCTTTTCATTTGCCTCTGTGATAAACTCCAAACTCTCGTGGCTTTTCATTTGCCTCTGTGATAAACTCCAAATTCTCATGCAAGGTCTCCAGCGACCCCAAACCTAGGGTCTTTTCCAAGGCACGGTCACTTCCTGAAGCCCTTCCACAGAGGTCCTGCTGCTGGACAGACTCCCTTCAGCTTGCTGGGAAACACAGCACAGGGCCCAGGGCATCACTTTCTAGCACTTCTCCGCTGCCTTGTGCACCGTCCCTGCCCTGGGCTTGAATCAGGGCGGACTTTTGCACAAGGCACAGTAGGCACAGAGCCCAGGGCCCATGATACTTTTAGAGACCCAAGAAAATGAGTATAATAATACTAAGTCCAGTCTGGATTATATTCTTTATACTAATGCAGTCGTAAGATATAATTTTTACCAGCTTATTTTTTAAACCACTTTATTAATTTTTACTGTTAATGGAAGAAGGGACCCACGAAAATCATAATGTGGGCCTGATTTCTTCTCCCAAATAAAGTTCTTGCCCCTTCATCTTTGCCTCAGCCTTTGCTTTCTAGACCACAACTTTTATTCTCGTGCTTGTTACCTCATGGTTGCAAGATGACTGCTCTATCTCCAGGTACCACTGACACATTCCAGGAAAAGTCGGGGTAGAATGCATCCGTCTCTGGTTTTCGAGAGAACACAAGCTTTACGGTAAAGCCAGTCCAGCAGACTGGCCAGATTCACACAGATGACCTAACTGTGAGACAGCCTGGGGCCCCCAGCAGTTGGTGTCTCAGCCTCGAAAATAGAGGGGTGCTGCCTGCTGGCTGCTCAGGGCATGGACGCCCACCCTCTTCCACCCGTCTACACCCATCTGTGGTTTCCCCGGGCTCATGTGCGATGCCTCAGCCACACTGTACCCTTTTTCACATGCACACCTCTGCTCTTCCTGCCACCTGCCCCACCCTGCACTCTATCCCCCCTGTCCTCCCTCTGGCATCGTTCCTTGACTTCTCCTCCTACCTCAGCCTCTGCGAGGTACCCGTCCTAGCCATCTTCCTAATACCCCGGATATGGCAGGGCCAAGGGACTGCAGGGATTGACAGTTACCTGTTTCTGTGCCTTTTCTCCCATGTGTCAACCTTGCCACCACTGTGCCCGGTACATGTCGAGTCACGGTGAAAGCATGATCTGCCCTCATTATCCCCCTTTACCTCTGTTCACAGGCTCAGACAAGAGTCAGGGCATGCTGGCCTTGTCCATCAGTCCCAATCGGCGATACCTCGCCATCTCCGAGATCGTGCAAGAAAAACCTGTCATCACCATTTACGAACTGTCATCCATCCCTTGCCGGAAGCGCAAAATCCTTAATAATTTTGACTTCCCCGTTCAGAGATTTATTAGCATGGCTTTTTCTCCAGACTCCAAATACCTGTTGACTCAGACATCACCTCCGGAGTCAAACCTTGTCTATTGGCTGTGGGAAAAACAGAAAGTAATGGCTATTATTAGAACCGACTCTCAGAACAATGCTGTCTACCAGGTACCTCCCAACATAACAAGTATCGTGCAAGTTTTAAAACTAGTAAGAGCCGTCTTTTATTGAATGCTTTCTGTGTGCCAGGAACACTGCCAGTTTCTTAACATGCATTTTTTTTTGAAAAGTTCTTTTTTTTTTTTTCAAATTTATTTATTTGTTTTGAGAGAGAGCATGAGTGGGGAAGGGGCAGAGAGAGAGAGAGAGAGAGAATCTCCAAATGGATACTGCAGAGCCTGTTGCGGGGCTTAAAATCATAAACTGCGGGATCATGACATGAGCCCAAACCAAGAGCTGGATGCTTAACCGACTGAGCCACCCAGGCGCCCCTCTTAATATGCATTTTTAAATTAATCTCTCAACAACCATATATGGTCTGCATAATTATTATCCTTGTTTTATAGATGAAACAACTGAGGCTCCAAGAGGTTGAGTCACCCACCCAAGTATCACACAGGTAGTGAGTGGCAGGGTCAGGAGTCTCAGACTCCAGTACCCCTCTTCTTTACCCTGGCCCAGAACTGCTTTCACAGGCCCAGCTGATGAATTGATAACTCACTTTGTCTTGCTGGTCCTGTCTTCTTCCTAACAGCATTGCTGGGCAGTGGGTAGATTTCAGGAACGTGACATGAAGTGGTTGGTCTTGAGGAACGTGTCAACAAAATCGCAGTTACGTGGGGAACAGAATTTTCCATTGTTGTTTGGGGGCAAAAT